CAGTACTTTTCCAGAGAATAACTTGGTGATGCTGATCATTCTGCTTGATTTTCTGAAGTACAGGTTGAGCATCTCTAATCTGAAAATCCAAACTCTAGAATATTTCACCATCTGAAACAATTTGAGCACCAACATCATGCTACAAATGGAAAATTCCACACAATTAAACTTTGTTTTATGCACAAAATTACCTAACATGTATAAAATCCCCTGCAGGCTATGTGTATAAGCAAAATAAATGAATTTTGTGTTTAGACTTGGTTCACATCAATAATGTATCTGCAAATACTCCAAAAATCCCCAAATCTCTGGCTCCTAAGCATTTTGGATAAGGGATATTCAACTAATTCCATCCTTTTTCACTGCTTGTCTTCTATATTTGTCACGTCCTCTTGAATAATTTTCTTCCACTTTCATGTCTTTTTGATATAAAAATCCTGTCTTTTATCTTCTTTTCTCTTAAGGTACTGCCTAATTATCTGCTGTGGTTGCCTTATGTTCCTTCTAAGTTAGTCTTCATTTCTGAAATAAAACTATTATTTACTTTCACTTTTAATTCTTTCCTAAATTTTGTTATTTCATTTCTTATTCTGGATTTTTATATTTTCTTCCATACAATTTACACTTTTCCATATGTAAAATTTTTAAGTAGTTCCGCTAGTTTTGAATGTTAGATTGTAATTTTTATTGATTTTTTTGTGGACATCTCTTTCAGGCATGTTTTAATTTTGTGAGGTTATTATTCTGCTGCTCATTTTTATATGAAATTAGTTTTCCGAACTTTTAGAAGGAAGCTTGATTTGGGTTAGATTTTTTTTCTAATGTTGACTACAGAGTTACATCTTCAATAATTTTTGAGAATCATTCAAAGTTAGGGTGAATTACTATCTGAAATGTTCTTGCTCTTACCTGTCTGCCTCCTCTAATTTTTCTGTTTGTTTTTTAAATGTTTAATTATTTTGTTGCTTTTAATTTTTCCCTTTCCCTCCTTCTTCCTTCCTTCCCTCTTTCCTTCCTTACTTCTGTCTGTCCATCCATCCATCCATCCATTTCTTCCATATTTATCTGGGCTTTCTTATCTCTGTCCTGGCCAATTTGGAGTCCATCCCCACTAGTTTTTCCTGAGTGCAGTTTTATTCTGCAAGTGAGCTTAAATGATTCATTGTGAGAGTTCATGGGGGCTTAAGCTGTTCTCAATCTAGACCATGGACTTTTTTCCCTCAACCACTGTTTGAAGAGGCAGACCCCTCCCATTTGCTGCTCTTGTTCACGAAATACTTCACTAACATTTGAGAAAATTACTTTAGAGTTCTCAGGTCTCTTGGATGCCATACTGATGCCTTCTGTGTATTCTTTCCTAACTAGTACAGTTTGAATTTTGTAGGTATCTGGTTTGTCCTCACCTACTCTAATCTTGGGATCCATGAGAGAATCATTTTCATACAGCTTAGTTTAGATTGTGTCAGGGAATTTTGGTTTTGCTTTCTTACTTGTTCTACTTATCATTTCTATTCACATTTTTTTTTAAGTACTGGCATTCGGAGAGACTAAAATCTATGCTGTTTCTACTAACTCCCTTCGAGAATTTCTCTGCAAACAACATACCATGGATAAAATCCTGCCACCTGCCAACTGTTTTTATATAGCCTTTGACTGATTTTTCAGTTTTTATATCCTCCTTTTTCTTTATTCCCTGTTTTTCACCATCCTGGGGGCCTTTTTTTTCGTGGTGAACCTAGTAACTCCCCCCAAAAATGCAAGCACTCTACCACTGAGCTATACCTTCAGCCTTGTTTTAAACTCTTTGATTGATATTGACAAACTGTCACTCCAAGAGGTTGTACATATTAACTCCAATAAAGATACTGGCTAGGGCTGGGGATTTAGCTCAGTGGTTCTGCCACCTGCTTTGCAGGTGCAAGGTCCCGAGTTCAATCCTCTGTACCAAAAATAAAAACTAAATAGATACTGGCTAAATAAGTTATGGTGCATTTATACAATGAAATATTATGCAGAGGATAAAGAAAATGGGGTTGATTTATTGATGTGTAAAAAAATATATACTATTGAATGAAATACCAACTTACCTATGCAGAGGATGATTTTTTCATGTTAAGAACACAGCATTAGAATATACAAAATTATAATTTTTATAAGAAGGATAGACAAGAATTAGGTTGTAAAAATTTATGCACTTGCCAGTGGTACATCCAAATAGTTGGCCACACTTTTACCAATTTGGGGTTATCTAATTTAAACAAACTATTGCCAAGTTGATAGATGGGAAAAGGGAATCTCAATTTCATATATCAGTTTTTTTCATATTTTTCATAAGTTAGCATAAATTAATTATTTTGTGAAATTCTGTTTTTACCCTGTGTTATTCATCTTTTTTCTTAGTGGTTTAAAAAGTTTTTCTATGTCATATATTAACTCTTTGGCTTATCCATTTTTGCCTTTTTTTTTATTCATGATGTAAAAAATATTTTCACTTTTTCTGTACTAAAACTTCCTATATTTTTATGTATAGAAAGTGCTTTCCACTATATATATATTTTTTTCTATATACGCATACATACATACTTACATTTCTCTATGCATTTTTCTATTACTTGATTTTGTTTTTTGCATTTAGGTCTTTAATTCATCAGGGGCTTATTTGTGTAATCTGTGAGGTAGGGTTTAACTTTGTTTTTCAAATGCTTGGCCAGTTGTCTTTGTGCTATTTATTGAATAAACCATAATTTTGAGGTCATGTACTTTTTCAGATTGCTTTAATTAGAAGTCTTTACATTTCAGATTTTTTAAAAATCAAGTTTGCTGAAATATAATTTATATGCAATATAATTTGCTCTTTTTAAGTATCCAATTAGAAGTGTTTTAGGAGATTGTGCAATTTTATAGCCATTGCTCCAATTGATATATAGACTATTAAGTAAGTGTGGTATGCACTCCTGTAATCCCACCACATTTGGGAGGCGGAGGCAGGAGGAGTTCAGGCTGGTGATATAGTTCAGTGCCTAGTCTTGATCCCTGGGTTAAATCTCCAGTACTGCAATACCAAAAAAGGATGATGAAGAAGAAATAATATTTTAATATACCCCAAAATTCCCTCATACCTCTTTACAGTCAGCTCCCTTCCTGATCCTAGACCTTGGCAACCACTGATTTATATTCTGTCCCTAAAGGTTTACCTTTTCCAGCATGTCATTTATATAAGTGGAATAATAAAATGCATAGCTTTTGAATTTGGTTTCTTTCACTTAGTATAATACATTTATAAGACATCTAAGCCTTTACATATTTCAGTAGTTCATTCCTTTTTATTTTTAAGCAGTATTTCTTGGTATAGCCATACCATAGTTTAACCATTCACTTTTCTAAGAATATTGGGGCTGTGTCCAGTTTAGGGCTATTATAAATTAAGCTGGTATAAAAATTCCTGTAGAAATCCTTATGCACATGTTTTCATTTCTTCTGGGTAAGAAGAAATGAGTGGGACCGCTGGATCATGTGGTAAGCACATGCTTAGTTTTATAAGAAATAGTGACTGTACTATACATTTTCACCAACAGTATGTGAGAGAGCCAGTTACTCGGCATCCTAATTGGCACTTGGAATTATCAGTAGTTTTAACTTTGGCCCACTCCACTAGGCATGTCAGTATTAAATAATTTTGTTAGAATAATTTGGATATTTTATTTTATTTATTTATTTATCTATCTATTTATTTATTTATTTTTGGTACTGGGGATCGAACTCAGGTCCTTGCGCTTGCGAGGCAGGCCACCGAACCGCTGAGCTAAATCCCCGGTTCTAGTTTGTATATTTTAAGTAGTGTTTCCCAACTTGTCTCTCATAAATTCTCTAAAACAGGCTGCTCCTAACTTGTTTGGTCCATCTCTCATTGCACAATCTGCAGCAGCTGAATAGTCATAGTTGCTCTTGTTTCTATTTTCTTTATTTCTGTTTCCTTCGCTAAGCTTTAAGAACCACAGACTATCAAACAAAAAAAAGGAGTTTAGACATAATCTAAGGCAGGGGTTGGCAACATTTTTCAGGAAAGGGCCTAGTAGACAAAATGTTTGGTTTAGCAAGCTATTCAGTCTCTGTTACAGCTCAACTCTACCGTTATAGCATGCAAACAGCTATAGGTAATATAGAAACAAATGAACATATTCCAATAAAAATTTAGTTACTGAAACAGGCAGCTAGCAATATTGGCCTGTGGGCAATAGTTTGTTTCCCCTCTGGTTTAGTTTAACAACTTGATTTTTATAGGTGAGAGAATGCAGCCCAGATTTCACCCTTCCCCCAAAGTTACAAGTAAAGGCTTTCACCATAAGAGACATACTTGAATTGTATTCAGAATGAACTTGTCTTATCCGTAATATCTAGCAGTTGATGTTAGATAATGCTACTAATACAACACCTTTCAGAGGTTTTAACTGCACTAAGACTTTTAAGGCGTCCTATATATTACCATTGCTCTAGATGTTAATTGACTTTTTAAGCTTGTTGTGTCACTGGAGCAGTGGTCAAATTTGGTAAGAAACTGAAGATAATAACTGTCCAAGTGAAAACAGTTAAGGAATGCATGCTACTCTTTTTTTTCATCAGCAAAGGCTGTTTCTAATTCTGAAGATGTCCAAATTTGTGTATGTTTTGAGACCAGTAAATATCAGGCAACATTCCCATGCTTTCCCAGCCTTTAATATTCTTTATTAGGGCTGGGGATTTAGCTCAGCAGTTTGTTGGCCTGCCTTGCAAGCAAGCGCAAGGATCCAAGTTCAATCCCCGGTACCCCCCAAAAAAATTCTTGATTATTTTGTTGTATTAATTTTTAAAACAGATGAATATTCTTAAATCAGGAAACAAAAACCAGGAAACATACTCATGATTCCACACATGCAAACCTAAAAATAAGCATTGTCTGTGAGTTCTCAGGAAAAGAACATTGCTTAGAAAAATCATCATGTATGTTTTTTCTTCCTTTGCAGCACTGGAAGAAGTATGACATCTATGAGAAGCAATCCAAAGAAGAAACTGACTCTGTAGTGCTGATAGAAAACCTGAAGAAAGCCTCTCAGTGATTAGGATAATTTATTTTTGCCTTCAGTGTGACCTTGTGAAGATTCATCATATTCTCCATTTGTTATCTGGGGACTCATTAAATAGAAACTGGAACTACTGGATCCTTTAAAAACAGGCGGCTCATAAGAGCCCCAAGTTTTTGTGTAAGTCATACACCAAAAAAACTAAAAAATATTGGGCCCTTTGGAGATGAGAGAGAAGTCTTCTTACTGAATTGTAAAGGCAGGCGTCCATTGCAATCTTCAAACTAAGGGACAAAGCAAAAACGTGATGATAGAGTTTAATCTCATTGAGAACCATGACAGCTTCCTAAGGGATCTATGCTTGATGCATATTTCTGTGTCAAGTAACATCAAGAAATTTTATTTGTTAGAGAACTTATTTTTAGATGTAAATGCTAATGTCGAATGTGACTCACAGAATATCTAGCAACCAAAATTGATACTACCTGATATGTGTTGTTTGGATCCCATTGAATAATGTTTGTGGCTACTGAAACTCCTTAGAAGTCTGGAAACATCCATTGTGATAATATTTTCCTCTGCTTTCAATCAGAAATCAGTATTGGCTATGATCATAAAAATATAGAAGAGTAGAGGCAGCTTCTGTACCAAGACCATTCAATGCCATTGCAGGCTTTTAAATTCAGTGGAACAGAATTACTCACTGGGTATTAGAGTTTGAACCAAGGAATCTCTAATGACGTATTTTTCTTCACTTCTGTTACTCAGATCAAATATTGGCTACGTGTTTGGCTTGTGCTCCTTCCCCAGTTTGTGAGGGACACCCCCCCACAGGTTTACAGTATAGTTGGTACTCCTCAGTTCTTACCACTTCCTTTATCTCCACGCAGTAATTTCTCAGACTTTAACTCCCCAACTTCCATTCCAATATTACCCTCCTTCATCCCTTCCTTATGATCTTTTGAGCTTCATTAGAAATTAGGAAATAAATCTGCTCAGAACACCTAAAGGAGCAGGGAGGGATTTGCATCTCAGGTACAGTGTGAATAGACAGAAACAGTCACTAATTCTTACGTATTTTGTAACTTCCATGCAAGTCTGTAATTACTGAGGGTTTTCAGCATTTGATGTTTCTCTGTGCATATCTTCACTTAGAACTTAGCTATTTCCTTGAGGAAAAAAGGCATAGTTATATTCATTTCTCTGTCTATAAAATGGACCCTAGATTCCTCTTTTCCTTGCCACAAATGATTAAGTATATTTTATGTGATATATTGATATCCAGGGCTCCACATATATACTCATTTTTTGCATATGTTAGGGTTCTATTCTCCCCCATTTCCACAATGTATGTACATATGTTCCTTCTACTATTTCCTCCAAATTTAAAGAAGTAAAGGAGAGGTATCTCTCCTTTGCTGGCTTACACACACATTCAGATTGTTAATAGTGACTTAAGAATATTATATCACAATTTCTCCAAACATTTACCAGTTCATATTAATAAAATAATGCTACTTATAATGCCTGTTCTTAGGGCAGGGGAGATAAGAGGCCCCTACTCTCCACAGGTTTGGACAAGCACAGCAGCCTGCTCCTATAGTAGCAGAGGAGCACTGTGCCCTGGCATCTCTGAGGAAATTGGAATGGGTGTTGTTTACTCTTTGTGCTTTTAGTATATAAGTCACATTGAGGCTGAGATATAGGCATAGCAAGTGTTCACCTTATTCCACTGTTCACTAGAAAGAACACTTGGGTTTCCTGTGTAGAAACAAGATTACTTCCTACTTTATAATTCTGTGAAGCAAAACACCAAAATGTCTCAACCAAAGCCATTTGTTTTCCTGCTAACCTATTTTGATGGCATGAGGAGAATGCTTGGAAATTTTGAAGGAACTACTGAGAGTGATAGTCATACAGCCTATGAGTTGGGAAATGATATTTTGTTTCTATCTTCTTTTGGCAGTACAATGCTAACAGAGAAGGGGACAGTAAATTATAGGAGTACTTAAAATTGTTGTCAAGTTTCTAAAAAGTGACTCCCAAGTCATAGGAACTCATAGAGGAATCAATGCATTCACCTATAGGAAAACAGCAGGGTCGTTTTTCATTTTTCTGTCTGACCTATATGTTCCCCGCCCCCCACATATACCTAAGAAAACCCGCTGTAAGGATTGTCATTCTTACTCTTTCATTCAGAAAGGTTTTCTGCATCTGGGCACTGAAGGTATAAATGAAACAATGTTAACATTTTAGGTAATGTCTTGAACTAGGGTCATTTTTTGCTTCTTATATGAATGCTTGAGAAAAATAAATAGAAATTGTCTTTTTGTGTGTCACCTGAATACTTTCTTTTGGTCTTATTGTGGGGGAAAATGTTGTAAGGAGTAGGTGGTGGAGAAAATTGGAGTTAAAAGAATAAATATTGTAAAAAATATTCCAAGGTTGCTGTTTTATAATCATTTATTAGATTCTTCCTTGCTGTTCTGCTATGCCTGTGTTTTCTGATAACACATGTATTTAGCTTAATATTAGCACTGTCTTTGCAGGTAGCACATAAAGGGACCTAAGTATTTGATAAATTGTAGTTATAACAAATAATGGAAATGCAGAACTGGTCCTTTCCAATATTAAACTGAACATAGAGTTAAGTACGTTTGCTGTCATAATTTGCATGATAGACAAATGATACAATATACTTGACTTTCATGGTGTGTGAGATGGGGGACGTCTAGTTACAAATTAATCATCAGGTTAGACTTCAGACTAAGAATCAGTTATCAATAGTTATCCTCTTAAATAGTAATATAGTTTCATATTTTCTGTAATCACAGCAACATAATTTAAATGTCATACAGTTTTTATCACTTATATTAATTTCTAAGAGCATATCTGTAGCCAGACCATATTTGTAAATTACTCTATGTCTCTGCCAGATCCAAACCCTAGAATTAGGTTGGGTGCTCACCTGGTTATTTCTGTAACTATTTGGAATTATCTGTGAAGATTTTGGAAACCCATGTCCAGGTAATTATAGTTGTTTGTTCTAATTCTTTTTTTTTGGTACCGGGGATTGAACTTGGGTGCTTGCACTTGCGAGGCAGGTGCCAGAACTACAAAGCTAAATGCCCAGCTCCTGTTCTAATTCTTAACATGTCATCACTGAGTATTATGACAATTTTTGTGGAGTACTGGGGATCGGGCCCTTTTGCTTGCAAGGCAGGCATGGAACCACTGAGCTAAATCCTGGGCCCAACAGAAATCCTTTAACTGGGGACTCTTATGACCATACATCCGTATAAAGTCTATGGAAACCAAATTTCTGTAGCTACAAGCATGCTCATCAAGTTTTAGGGAGGAGAGGAGCTAATGATTTAAGCACATTTGCTTTCCAGTGTGTTTTACCATTTTGTCATTACCATGAACTCTGACTTTTTAAAAAAGTAACTCTATACTGATATGAATAGCATATTGTGTTAGTAGGATATTAGTCATTATAGAAGAGTGAGGAAACAAAAGGATTTATTCCAGTACTTTGTTTTCTTTGAACCTTAATGATTAGGCCAAGCAATAACATTTTTGGAAATACTGAAACTAAATCTTGGTATGCTTTTACTTTACACAAGAGTGGAGTTTTACTGACATCTGGATATGCTAGATATTTTTGACATCAAGCCCCAAAATGATTTCATCCTGAAGGTTCTTTAGTTTTTAACTCTTTCCCAATGGAAACCAAATAAGTGACCATTAATATTTCATTGTGAGTTTTCAACATGTAGTAGACTACTGGATAGAAACAGAAAAATCTATAGTTTCAAGTTGCTACTGTGTATCAAGTAACATTATTTCATTTATTCCCTATATCAGTCCCATGAGATAGGTTGCATTATCTTCATTTTAGAGATGAAAAAAACAGATATAAAATGATAGGATTCTGTTGCAAAATTACACAGCTAGTAAGTAACTGAAACAAAATTGGAATACAAGTTAACTTGGTTTTAAAGTGATGTATTTATTCATTTACCCAAGGACTGAGCTGTCTAAAGAAGAAACCTTATTTACATTATTGTCAAATTGTTTATCAACTAGAAGCCTGGAAATTTAAATCATTTACTTGTAAACTTAATACTATCTTAAAATTTATTGGTGCATTCATTCACCTATGCACCAGGCAAGGTGCTAGATAATAGGAATGAAGTTTGGCTTAATATCAGGGGTGTCTACATTGGAAAGGAGAAGTCTAAGTTTGAATTAGATGTTCCAGAAGAACTTTGGCAGATGTCTCTCCCTGTCTGGGTATTTTTCCCCATCTGTAAAATAAAGATGTCAGATTTAGTCACTTATTCATTCATACACAACAGTGGCCATGAATTGTTATTATGGCTTATATTTAGATGTCCATGCAAAGCCTCATGTGCTAATAGGTGGGACTTTTAGGAAGTGGCTGGATCATGGATGTGTGATACTAGGTTTAAGGATGTGTAGTACTGGCTAAGTCCACTAATTGGATCAGCATAGTTCTGGGTGTGGATAATGGGAAAGCCACACTTGGTGTGAGTGGCACCATCCAATAGGCTGGTAGCCTGGATAGAATAAAAGAGAAGCAAAGGGGAGGCTTGTCGCTTCCTCCTCTTTGTTGCCCTATTATGGACTGTTTCTCCTCTGTCATGCCCCTCTTCCATGCCACTCTGCCTTGCAACTAGCTGACTATGGACTAAACTCTACAAAATATAAGCTAAAATAAATCTTTCCTCCTTTAACTTTGGATGTCAGGTATTTTTTTTGTCAGCAATGAGGACATGTAAGACAATTGTGGAGCTCTTTTTTAAAAATTTTTATTGAGTTTATTGGTACAATCTAGATATACAATACGATTAACATTCATTATTGGGATCCTGTACCTTTACATGATAGGTCTTGGTTCTCATTTTTTCCCCTTGTCCCTGCCCTCCCTTCACCCCCTCCTCCCCTCCCCATCTACAAACACTTTATTTCCATCTTTTCATTTTCTCATATTTTTTCCTCTCCCTTATTACCTTTCCCCTACCCTTCCCACTTTCCCTACACCTTTAGCCCTTTACTTCCTAGTTCACATTCTTAATTATCTCATTAGGATCTTGTGTACTATTATAGTTTATCACACCAGAGAAACTATTCAGTATTTCAGTTAAAGAAATTTCTATATGAACATTAAAAATAGGGAATCCTAAAATAAAACTAAAAAGGAAAGGAAAAGAGAAAAGGCAATGATGTAAAATTAAAATAATCCTTAATTCTGAAGATGAAAATGGTCCTTGAACATATTTAAATTGCTTCTTGCTCTTGTAGTCTTATATTATTCTCTTTTTTCATTTTTTAGAGAATACTTTATTAGTTTCTGTAATCAAACCCACGTAGATATGACCTTACATATTTAAGTGCATTACCCCTGTAGAAATGGAAAAAAATTAACTTTCTAGACCAATATGGCTGTTAATTCTGTACAATGCCAACTCAACACAGTAAATTGGGATAACTTTTTCCAAAGTCTACAGCACAGTTAAAGTTTCCAAAAATTCAAATTATATATGTATATATATATATATATTCATATAAAAAGACCAATAATAGCAGTATGTTATTCATTAATAGGAGCAACAGCTTTTCCAGGTTCTGCAGTCATCTGAACAAAATTATAGACATTCAGCACATTCCATTGAAAACAAAACAAAACAAAACAAAACAACAACAACAAACAAAGAAAAGAGTAATATCCAGAAAACAGCAAAGTTCTGTTGCTGTTGTGGTACCTGGGACCATTTTTTTTTTTATTAGCATCTTAATCATCATCTGGAAAGAGAACATTCTAGAGTAATATCATTAAATGTAGCTCTGATAAAGCACGGTCCCTACTATGTATCATGGTACTGTATCATACCTCTATGCATGGAGGCATGTTTTTTAATGACAAAAACTCAGAGGGAACCACTATGATATCAATTCCAACGTTTTTTGTAAAGAGCTAATGTATGTTTTACTTTGGTCACTATTTTTTAGTTACCTTTTGCTGGGGGGGTACCAGGTATCGAACTCAGGATCTTGTGCTTGTGAGGCAGGTGGTGGAACCACTGAGCTAAATCCCTGGCCCTAGTTACTTTTTTTTCTCATTGAGTTTATTGGTA